CTCATAGACTGTTTGAGGGCAGTGGATGAACCACAACAACTCAAAATGTCATTCCACCCTTGAATTCTTAGCATCTGCTGACTCCCTCAGGTCAGGATAGAATAGCCAATGTGCTGAAAGTTGTTTCCTTCTTTTCTAATTTTTGGATTGTTTTCTTTTCAAATGGATTGAATAAGACACACCAGGAAGAACACTGGGATCTGACCAAACACCTGCTCTTGGTTTGACTTTTCCCTAAAAAAGCAAGTCCTCCTGTTTTCCTGATGTAAGTTGACTAGTTTAACCCAACTTCCAGGAGTTTCTTTGTTTGCTGAAAGCCATTGGGGATATTTACTCCTTGGGTAGAAGTGACTCCCCAGAGGACAATGCTTATTGATTTGTGATGACATGAGGCACTGGGAGGATTCTCTTCTTTGTACATGGTAGTGCTTCTCTCCCATGACTTCCCAAATGGAGCCCATTATTGTCTTGGGTATGAATGATCAGTCTTTCTCCCAGACAGGTGAAAATCTAGGGACAGGGATGGAACTGCAGCTGGAGATTTTCTAGAGAAAAACTAGCCTAACATGACAACTGCCCCTTCTCATAGTGTATTAATAGTTTCTTCATGTGGCCTTTTAGTAACCAGAAGAGGCTAAATGCTGGTGACAACAGGCTCCAAAAGTGAAGTGGGAGTGAGGGGAAGGGGAATAGAAGAGAATGACAGAATTACAGAGTTTGATGGGAAGCAGCACTCTTTGACCTCAACCCCCCAGGAGTGAGGAATCTCACTGACTGCTAGGATACCTCTGGAGAAAGCCTGTCCCCGACTTGGTCAGACCAGGTGAGCCTTTGGAAATAAGCTCATGCTGAGGTGAATTTTTTTTTTTTAAATTGCATTTTTCTGGTCTTTATTTGTCCTTTTAGAGTATTTTTTTTAATAAAGTATTTTTATTTATTTATTTATTTAAGATTTATTTATTTATTTTTACAAGAACTGGGGTACAGGCCAGAGGTGTGTGGGGGGGGGTGAGAGGATGCGCCAGAGACAGAGTGGGGAACAGAACAGGCAGACTGACGAAATACACTGCTGAGGGGAGCAGTGGGTGCGGCAGGGGAGGTCTGCTGCCCCATGTGGGACCCTTGCTGGCTGGTCAGGATCGAACCGGCGCTGCAGAGGCTGCGGAAAGCTTCGCAGTGCGGCACTCAACTGCCTGCGCCACCAGGGGAGGCCCTGTCCTTTTAGAGTATTATAGGTCAAATCCATTTATCACTTATCAGTTTCTTGATTATCTGAAGAACGTCCTCACAACGTACCTTATTTTTCTCCTCTGAACTAAATCTCCCCATTTCCTTCAGCTATTCCTTGAAGGCTACATATTTCAGACACAGAATATCCTTCTCTTATACACAATGTAGTTTTCTGAAAATTTCTCTTCCTCTATCCTGTGGCGTGTAGGGCACCCACCTTTAGTCTAGTTCCTAGAACGAGAAGGGTCTGTTTTATGAGAGGTTGAGACTTTGAGTGGCGAGTCTCATGGTCAGCTCATTCACTGAGATGAAACCTGGCACCTCATTGGGGAACCAGATGCTTAGACTATGCCTGACCAATGGCCCCAGTGGGGCTCCTGTGCTTCATCTCACATACCTGAGCCCCGAGTTCACAGGGAGATAACTTCAGAGATTACAAATATTTCCAGCCCTGATGACAATTCTACAAGAATTAACCAATCAAGAAAGGTTGTGCCTTCTCCCTACTCCTGAAACCCCTGGCTGAAAAGTCCATTGGTGGCTTGCTCTATAATTTCTTCCCTTTTCTTCCAGACGGTTCCCAGAGCTTTCCGTCCTTTTTTGAGTTAATATGGCTCTGGGCTGCACAGAACACAGAATCTGGCCCCTGAGGCTTATAAAAGAGAGAAAGAGACACCAAAGGCTGAAATCACTTCCTAGCCTTTTCCTTTCATCCTCTCCTGCAGAGTCTGCTGCAACAAAAACACACTCTTCCTGTGGGACCTCCACCCCAGAACCTCTGAGGGAGGGCTCTTGCTCTGAGCATTACTAAGCTGAGTGCTAGATGTGGCACTGAGCCTGTATGTGCCAGTCCTGGCCCAGCAGCTTACAGCCAGGATGGCACAACACAAGTCAGAGCCACTGAGTTCTAGAACGGGGGTGGGAGGGTAGGGGGTGTGTGTGTGACATAAGCAGTAGTTTACAGGAGAGAAACAGGCTCACAGGAGTGAATGAAGAGCCCATATATGTAAACTCACATGTGCATGTCTGCACTTATCCTTATATTAGTCTGTGTATGCAGGGGTATATGAAATTGACACTTGTGGAAGGTTTCATTTCATTAATCTGTTCTAATTTGATTCTCACAATAGCCTCATCTAAGCTGGGGTTGATCATACAGATAAATAGTAGTAACTGGATTCAGATAGAGATCTTCTGATTCTGTTCCCTCAATTGCATGGCATCATTGTTTGATCACAGTGGGTGCTGCCAAATTCATCTTTATGACCCCTGTGGACTAAAATTCTCTTTTTCCCTTTCTGACATTCTCAACAAGCCACTGCACAGCTCCTTAGGAATATGGTTAAAAGGTGAGGTGCAAGACAGCATAATTAGAACAGAAAGCATACATGTAGCCAGAGAATGTTGCTTCAGTCACTCTTACAGACAGGCAGGACAGGGCCAAGGTGTGGCAGGTTCAAACATCAGGAGAGTAATCCTGGAGCCAGGGATTGGGGGGGTGGTAAATGTGGTTGGAGGCCTGAGTTCTTGAATGGTGGGGAATCAAGTTCTAGAAGGTGCCAACCTCTGCCTATCCTCTTCTTGAGTTTCATGGTTTTGTGCTTATCAATTCTTTTATCCTTTTCTCATAATTTTAATAAGTATCTTGTTAGCAGGTTATCTTAAAAAACTGAGATTTCCACTTTTGAAGAACATTTTTAGTGAGGAAAGTTGTTTCCTCTCCCTCCCAACAAGCTAGAGCTCTGAGCTGAGGGAAAGGAAAGCCACGGGCACTTACTGAGCATTTACTGTGTCAGGAACGTTACACAGACTACCTCACTTGCTCCTTTTCCCAGGAGAAGCTGTGTAGATGAGGAAGGAGGGTCACAGAGTTGAGAATTTGCCTAAGGCCACATGGCAGCTCGTGGGAAAGCAGGGACTGGTCCCTTGGCCTGTTAAGCTAAGGCACTGGCCAGTTTCCTTTGCATCGTGCTCCTGGCCTGCCTGACACTGGGGAGGCTCCGTTCCTGATCTCTGACTCCAGGCCACCCTGGACTGTCACAGTCGCTGCCGAGGAGTCAGCCCCTCTGCCGGGAATGGCTTTGCAGGTCACAACTGAGTGGCAGTGGAGACCTACTTGTGCTCATGCACTCGGAAAGTAAGACCCAATATGAGGATTGGAGAACTGGAAAGAACCTTACCAAATACACAGCAGCCCCTGAATTTTGCAGATGAAAAAATTGAGGCCAAGGATTATGACTAAAGTATTTGCTCTGGTCATACAATTATTTAGTGAAGCTGGGGCCAGAACTGGGTCTCCTGCCTCGGTGAAGACCAGGGATTCAGCACACTAGTTGTGAACTTCTGGGCAATAGAGAGAGGAGATAAAATACCCAAGATGGCTCTGCTGATCGATGCATATGATGGAGAGGCAAGAAAATAGATGCAATCTATATGGGGCTTGAAAAAAAGAGCCAGTATGGAAGCCAAGACTGAAAATACAGATCTAGGGTGGGCTAAAGAGTCTCAGTAAGTGACTTCCCAGATTGTGTTTTGTTCCCATTGCACATACAGTTGGAAGCCAAATGCAAGCCACCAAGGTTGCAGTGAAACAGCAAACAATTACAGCACAAATAGTTGTGGGCAGCTGTGGGAGTGCAAGCCACCTGCTCCAAGTTTACAGCTTTGTTAAACTTGGTAAACATTTAAAATGGGATGGGAATACTCCCAGTCGTCTGCGCAGCATCCCATGCCCTTCCAGGAGGCCTTGCTCGGGGAGCTGGGGTGGCCTTGCTCTTGACCAGCCCTTCACCATGACCTAGAGCTGCTTTCTACTGGTGGAGGTCAAGGTTGTTCATCGTGCCGTAGAGACTGAGGGAGGTAGGGAGTGCCATGGTTGTATATTTATAACTTGAACGGACCACAGAACTCCCAGAATATAATTTTTCTCCCAATATGCAGTTAAGGAAACAAGTTCAGAGATGTTATATGCCCAAAGTTATAAATTTAGGGGTTGATCTCTGAACTTTGACCCTTTGTCTGGTGCTCCTTTATTAAGCCCCATGAGTGTTGTAGATGATGACAGAGTCAACATTACAGAAAGCTATAGCTGGAAGGGACACGGTTCTCAGCTACCATGACAAGGCCGCACAATTGGCATAAGCAGGCAGGGGCCAAGGATGCTAAATAGCTTAAAGTGTGATAATCCGGGCCTCCCCGGTGGCGCAGCGGTTGAGCGCTGGGTTGCGAAGCTGCCCGTGGCCTCTGTGGGGACGGTTCGATCCCCGGCTGCTCCCCGGCCACTGGAGGAGGGTCCCGCATGGTGCGCAGACCTCTCCTGCCGCCCGCTGCTCCCCTCAGCAGTGTACTTCGGTCCTTCTGCCTGCTCTGCTCCCCGCTCTGGCTCTGGTGAATTCTCTCAACCTCCCACGCTTCTGACTGTACCCAGTGCTTGTATAAACAAAACAAAGAAACAAACAAACAAATAAATAAAACATGCCTCTATTAAAAAAAAAAAAGTGCGATAATCCACATAATGAAGAATTGTCTTGACCACATACCAAGAGTGCCCTTAAGAGAGATAAATTTGTCCGCTGTTTATAGTTGAAGTTTCTAAGCCTAGAGACAGGGAGGAGCTTGACCAGGGAGTCCCAGGCCCCTGATCCCATCCCACTGGGCCCCTAAGTAAATTGTGGCAACCTTGGTGCCTTCAGCAAAGAGGAGACTTGGGCTCCCTCCCAGTCCAGTGTCGGCTGCAATTGCTCTGAAGCTATTTCCAGGCCAGCACTTACTTGGACTTCAGACCTTCCTGTCCATAGGGCTGCAGCAGATACTGGTGCACGAGTTTGTCCCTAAGAGTCCCGGCCAGTTTGATTTTCTTTCTTGATCGGTGCAGGTTGATGATAAAAAGTGTAATAGACCCACGGACATAATTGTGGCTGAGATCCAGAGAGAGAGAGAAGGGAAAGATGGAAACAAAGTGGTCAGTGAGATGCTTCTGAATAATTTATTGACCGCATGCAAACAGGACCAGCCCAGGGAAGGATTATTTTATGATTCTTGGTCACCCTAGACCTTCAAAGACAGGAAGACCTTGTTACTGTGGTTTTCTGCAGAGAAGACACCTGCTTCCCACCACACTCATTTTGTTTCCATTTAAATGTATTGCAGTGATTTTAGAAATCATCTTTTTTCTGGGTATGGAAGTAAAACATGTTAATTGCAAAAAAGGAAGGAAAAATAGAAACATAAGGAAGAAAGATAGAATTCCCATGATCCTAGCATCTTGAGATAGGATAATATTTTGCTGAATATTCTTCCAGTATTTTTTTGTTTATTAATTTGATAAATATTTATTGAGTGACATACATAAATATTACTTAGTTTTTACATAATTGGGATCATATTGTCCACAGTTTTTTCAGTTCGTGCACATCTTAAGCATGTTCTTGCACTATTATATATTCTTCTACTTGAAGAAGAATGCTAATTTCTTCAATAAAAGGAATGTAACCTATTTTATTTAACTAACTTCCTCCTTTTGGGGACTTAAGCTATTTTCAAATTTTCACCATTAATGAATTATGTGATGAAGGACTTCATTATACATTTTTTTTTTTGCACATCAAGGTTATTTCTGATAAAGTCCTAGAAGTTGGAGATGTTAGGTTAAGAGGAATGTGTCATATGATTCCTCACCACATCTTTGGGTTCATTTCCAGAGGAGCCCCTTCTGTGGGGGAGGAGGGGAGGGATTTTGCATCTCTGCTCGGTTGAGCCCTGTCACTGAAATGTTAGAACCTCTGGGTAGAAGCTTTAAGAGGCAGCCCCCGTTTGCCTCGTCTCTTTTCCCTAGGCCAGAAGATCAGCCAGCGATGTTCTTGGAGATGCAGCGCTACTGACCGTGTCCTGGAACTAAGATGATGTGGATAAGAGCATCCGCTGAGTCATGACTGAAGTGTTTGGAGGAGAAATACATTTTTTGATCACTGAGTAATATTCCATTGCGTATAACCACATCTTCTTGATCCAGTCATCTATTTTTGGGCATTTGGGTTATTTCCATAGCTTAGCTATTGTAAATAGTGCTGCTATAAACATAGGGGTGCATGTACACAATGGAATATTACTCAGCAATCAAAAAGATAAACTCATGCAATTTGCAGCAACATGGATGGAGCTGGAAGGGATCATGCTCAGCGAAATAAGCCAGAAAGAAAAAGAAAAATACCAGATGGCCTCACTCATAGCAGGAATTTAGACAACCTAAATAAGGGGCCAGGAAAAAGACTAATTATAATAAAGTAAAAATCAAAATTAACAAGCAACTATAAACCAGAGACACACTGTGGGGTGGGGGGGGGTGGCGCAGGGAGGGGAGGAGGGATTAGGGTCAAAATAAGGGGGGTGGAAATTGTATGGGGAATATAACCAAGATGAAGATGCATACATTGTACAAAAATGAAAAATGATGTAAAAAATATATAAAATAAAAAAAATTTAAAAATTAAAAAAAATGTTCATACTGAGCCACAGCTTTTTTTCTCATTTGCTTGTTTGCCATTTCATTTCTTTGGTAAACTGTTCATACTTTTGCTCATTTTTCTGTTGATTTATAAAAACTATGTATTAAAGATAGCAATCCTTTGTCTGCTGTGCATTGCAAAATTTCCCCATTTTCTTTGACCAATTCAGTTTATTTACATTGTATTCTGATGTGTTAAGGTGGAAAACTTTCAAGTAGTCAAATTTATTCATCTTTTTGATTTCTGTTTTTGCTGTTGGACCTATCCCTATTATAAAACTACTCACCGTTTCAGAATCCTTTTAAACCAGCACAGGAGCTTTAGGGACCTGGGAGACCTGGATGCCCACATGCAAAGTCCTTCAGCAGGTATCAACAAGCCGTAATGACTTCCTTCTCTCTCACTGGGAAAAAGACTTTGTTTCTAAGGGGTCCCTTAGGGCCCCATCTGGATGGGTTAATGAGAGGAAACAGAAAAAATGACCAGGTCCTGCCTTCAAAGGAGGAGTTCAGAGAAACCCTTAAGCCAACCTTGCCCGGAGGAGAACACATTCCTGCTGAAACAACATCCCTCAGTCTCTGGGTTCCTCATCTTTGTATCTGAAGGTGCTAATTAAGAGTGGAGTGGCCACAGTCAGGTCAATGCGATACCATGGGTTTTGTTTTCTGTTTTTAACTAATACAGTTTTGGATGCTCATGCCTTGGAGATTTTTTATTCAATCCATTAAGGAACAGGGCCTGGAAGTCTGTAATTTTTTTAAAAAAACTTTCTAGGTTATTTGGCACATGAATGAGTTTGGGAACGGTTTGCCAAAGGCAATCCATTAAAGTTATAAGAATTCCCAAAGAATATCCCTTTGGTTGTGTCTGATCATTTTTCTTGCACCTGTAAGAAGGCACATTGTGGTCAAGGCTTTTTTGGGTGCCTGCATTTATATTTTGTTAAATTATTAAATGACACTTCTATCAGCTCCCTTCTCCTCTGGCCCTTCTTTTCAATTTCCCGAAACACATGACCTAGGTTTTGGAGCCTGATGAGTTAGGTCAGGAGAGAATGCCAATTGATTTGAGCAGACTTGTGGCACCAGATATTTGAAGAAAGATGCTGCTAGCTTGTGCCAGCATTTACCATCAGTAAAGAATACCCATTGTCTCCTCTTGGTGGGCTTTATGCTTCCCGTGTGCAAAGTTGAGGAAGACACCTCAACTGTATATACATACCCTGACCTCAGAGCATGAGGAAAATTAGGCATAGATGGGTACCAATTTTGCTAGATTGAGGTAAACACCTTTGCTAACGACTTTCAAACAACCTTCTCAAGGGCCAGCCATGGAGGAGGCGAGAGCTGAGGGCTTGCATTTATGAGTTTCTCCTCTGCAGAGCTGGGGCAGAATGAGCCCCTGGAGACTGCAGAGGAGAAGGGTGGGATGTGGGGAAGTGGTGGGTGGGAGGGAGGCCTGAAATCACAGCACTGCTGTGGGGAAGGCTGTCTTTTCAAGCTGCTTGGCAATGGCTTGAATTCCACTTACATAGTTCCCCTGGGGGAGACAAACCAGCACTGATAGTCAGTGTGGAGAGGAAAGCGCAAAGGCTCTCATAGAACTCCTGGGGCCTCTGCAGGTCAGAGCTAGCATTGAAGGGTGTCCCTGCCATCTTTTCTCCTGCTTGGCTGATGGGCAAGGTCATTAAGGAGAGGCCTTTTGGCTTCAAAGACACATTCTTGGCTGGGGAGCACAGTGCCAACCTGAAAGTACTATGTTGAGAATCCAGATTTCTAAAGAATGTGTATTCTCTGCCCACAGAAAAACAATTTTAAAGGCATATCTGTTCCTCAAGAAGGTGGATTCTGGAGGTGTGGGCTGCAGGCAGTGGCTGACCTCTGATGTCATCAGATTCAGGTGAATGCCCCTTTGTGTCCGGTAGAACATCTGTCTTGCTGCAGGTCTCACTAATGGTGAGACTCTTTCACCAGCAGGGACACCACGGATCTTGTGTTTATCTTTCGGCTGCTCTTGCTATCTTCTATAATTGTGTTGCCACAGGAGGAAGAGGAAGTAAGTCAGGGAAGGGAGGCTGGACTTGGAATAGCTTGGATATAAGGGTTGGGGGTGTGTGTCACAGAGGGATCTACAGCTTGTCTTCCAGATAAAAAACAGTCTTGTTCTAGAAATGTCTCCAGTGAAGGGGAGAGACTAGGCAAGGGAATGGAGGTCAATGGGATGCACAGTTGTTCTCAGTGAAAGTCATTGTGCTCGAAAACTGGGTTGGTCCATTGTCTTCAAATCTAATTCAAAGTTTTTGGGTTCGGTAAGAGTCAGGCTCTGTTTGGCCAAACATTTCTTCCCCTAATTTCAAAGCCCCTGTGTATTTTAAGGGAAATTTAATCCACATGTTTCTGATTCATTTACACTTAACTCATCAAAATATTGTTTTGTAAGAGTCATTTGATGTCCAAGAAGCCTCGGGAACCTTTTTTATGAGTCTTTAAAAAAATTCTTCTGAAAAACAGGAAGCTATGTTTTGCCAATAATAAACGAACCTGAACCCCAAAAGGCTCAACTTTGCTTCAATATCCACCAGGTTCCAATTGGTTCTGAACTTGGCTAAGGACCTCAGCTCTTCCCCAGGAACATACATTGTCTTAGCAGAATGTTTATGAATAGGTTTCTGAGTCAAAACTTGTTTATTCTCCAAACAAGAAGACCCAGGGGGTGAACCACCCTACTGCCGTGTTCTCACTGTTGCCTCTAGAACAGAGAACAGAAAGCACCTGTTGGTGTGGTATGAGTCTCCCTCCTCCTAGGTCATAAAAGACAGTGCTCTGCCAGTCAGAGAGGACCTGCAACACCAGAGGCTGCTGTGCGAGGCCAGAGGTCTTCAAGTGGAGTTGCATGGCCTTCAGGGAGATGGTAAATGAATTTTTGTGTTCTATAGGATGCTGGGCCAAAAGAGCGTGAAGGTTTATTTCCAACTATAAATAAAATTCTTTGTATTATGAATGTTATAATTTGCATATAGGGATGAAACTCCAGAACCTTCAGAATTCATTGATCATATAAATGAAAATATCTGACAAGAGATTTGGTATGAAGCAAGAGGTCAAGCCATGCTAGACTATAGGAGTTTTCTTAACTGACACTTTGAGTTGTTGTTCTACTAGTCAGTTCATACTTGCTCACCTAATCCCTGTTTTGTTGAAGGGTCTATATTTTCCGAGGAATTATCAAGACTAAATAGCTTGAAGCCATCAATGCCTACTCTGGGACATTTTTGTAAACTTGGCCAAGTTGGCCTCAAATACATGCTGCTAATCGGGAGTACTTCCTCATGACCGCTGTGGAAGATGAGGTGGCACCGGCAGGGCACGTGGACTTTGGGAAGAAGGAACAGACACCTCCATTCTTGTGCCTACCTGTCTGAGCCACCTGGCATGGAGGAGACCCACAACTGCAGCCAGCTCAGTGCTTCCAATTGGGCTTTCTTTTAGGGTCTAATAGGAATGGGGACTTTACTCCAATTGTTATCATTAAGGTCCTGTGTGGAATGGATAAGTAAAGTCTTGTCTTTTTTTGTGGGACAAAGGAGGGATGATACTGAGGAGCATAGCAGCATGGTTTCCTCGGAGAGTTTCTGGCATGACTTCCCACAGAAAGTAGAGAAGGCTGGTGATGTAGACAGAACCTTGAAACAGAATTTTTTTTTACCCTTCCCTAATTTATTTTTATTACTTTTTATTTTTAAACAATATTTTCTTCCCCCACCCCCTCAGATTGAGTCCCCATATAATTCCTTAACCAGTGCACCCGTGCACCATCACCACAGTCCCCTGTGCTCCTCCCTCCCTCCCTCTGATCCCTCTCCTGCCTCCTCCCCTGTAGTACAGCTCTGATGTATAATTGTCTGTTTTTCTTTGTTGTGTTTTGTACTGTTATCATTATTTTTTTTTACGTGATGTCTTATTTGGTTCCCCTATATTCCTGCTATTAGTGAAACCATCTGATATTTTTCTTTTTCCTTCTGGCTTATTTCACTGAGCATAATTCCTTCTAGCTCCATACATGTTGCTGCAAATGGCATGGGTTTATCTTTTTTGATTGCTGAATAATATTCATTATGTATATGTACCACATCTTCTTGATTCAGTCATTTACTTTTGGGCATTTGGGTTGTGAAACAGATGATTTTAGTGACTTGTTCTAGGTCTGATGCTAGTGACTGGAGGGTAGAATTCTTCACCACTTCACCACATCACGCCCTTCTCATTGATGAGATGATGTCAAAGGGGAGAAGAGGTAGAACTATAAATCAGCAGTGATATCTTGGTTTTCTATTTCTGTGGTCACTCATTCATTCATCAAACCTTCGTGCCAGTCACTATGTTGGACACCAGGAATATAAGAACTGAATGAGACACTGGCCCTGAGTTCATTGAACACTCAGAATATTGGTGTTAACTTCCCACCACAACATGAAAGAATGTCAGGATGAACCTTGGGATGAGACCCTGTGAGGAGCCCCCATTAGGACGCTCACGTGCTATTAAACCCCTGGATACGCCATTTTTCTCCCTGGGTCCTCAGACTGAAAAGACCACAAACTGAAGTGCTTCCTGAAAGAGACAAAAGGTGCCAAGAGCAATTTTTCTCTCTTGAAGCTGGGGGTCCACCTTTTAGGTGGTTACCTCAGGGCTGGGGCAGACAGGGAATACAATGTTTCCTTGTATGGTGATCAGATAACTGCAGTCAAGGCCATAAAGCAGTCACTCTCTGTCAGGTATTGGACTGAGCTTCCTGTTGAGCAAAGGGGACGTTGAAAGCCTCTGGCCTCTGCCCAAACCAGCCTCCTCTCATCCACAATAGGTACTTGTATCTACAGACAAGTCCACTGGCCGCTGGCCCCCTATGTTCAGAGTGATTCTTTGAAAAATCTTATCATGATAAATTAATTGGCTTGGCTCCTCTCTCATCGAGGAAGGGGAAGGAGGGTCTGCTGTAACCTGATTACCCGAGCTCTTTGTGCCATCCACTCCCAGCGATCAGCCCCCCGATAGGCCTCCAGAATGAAGGTCTGGCTGAAGGCCCTTCTCCTCCACCCCCAGCACCAGGACTTCTCTGCTGGGCTCACCACTCTGTGCCTTACACAGGAAGTGAGGTAGGAAGCCATATTTGGTCAGACAGGATTTGCTTTAGGCTCAGTTTTAAGTTTTTCCTGTATAAGCCTCATGTGTTAAAATATCTGCCAAACACTATTTACTGCTTGATAACTATTATTCCTGTTGATTTTAAAGACAGCACTAATGACAAGCAGTACTTCTGACCAAAAAGCCTTACCACAGTGGGTTGTAGGTCTGAGTCCTTAAAAAGTCCAGGTTTTATTTAACTTCTTAACCCTTCAAGTAGATGAGAAGATTTTTTTTTTGTGGGACCCTCGCCAGCGGCCGGGGAACCAACTGGCTCTGCAGAGGCTGCGGGCAGCCTCACAGCCCAGCGCTCAACTGCTTTGCCACCAGGGGAGGCCCTAGATGAGAAGATTTTTGAAATCCTGTAAGTGGCTCTAGAGCTGGCATCTCTCCCTTGGGCCACTCAGTTCATCCTAGATGCCCTGGATTTCTAGTGGTGTCACTCTCCAGTAAGACCTAGAAACTTTTCTTATTTACTCAAGCTCTGCTGGTGGATTATAGAGGGAGGTTTTGTATTTCTTGCCTTGGTCCAGGCGTAGGTGCCCATGAAAGTCTCCTGGGCATCACATTAACTGGCACGGAGAAAATGCACAATAAAAATTTGAAGAAATAACTGAACAAATGGCACATATTTTTATGAACCTTCTGTGAATAAATCCTCTAAGTAAGTGTGACAAAGGAGGTTTATTTACTTGGAGTAAAAGCTGTTTGTCAGAGATCATTTGAAACTTGAAGAGAGCATTACAGTGATCCCAGAGGCTGTTTCATTACATCTTGAAGGGATCCCAAATGGCATGGGAGGCCAAGAGCGGTCAGAGCCCGACGCCCGCAGGCGCTCTCCAGGCCATGCATACAGACTTACTTGTGATGGCTGGTGCAGTGCGCATAAATCCTCAGCTTGTCCCGGATCACTCGGCCTGGCCGTGGCTTCCTCTGGAGCCCAGCCACATGCACGGCCAAGACTTTGGGGCCGATGAGGCGCTTGTAAAGGAGCGAGAGCCAGTAGTCCTGGGGAGAAAACAGAAGTGAAGGGTCAGGGAGAGAAGCACCATCAGGTGTTGTGAGTGAACATGGCAAACACAGCCCAGAAACTTCTTACCAGCATGGTGAGTCTCCACCTGCAAGACCCTAACTCCATAAGTGTGGTCCTCCACGGTGGGCTTGCCTTGATTCACATCAATTGCTTAAAAATGTCTGGTGAATTGCATGAATCAGAGCAAAGTCTCATAGCCCTCATCCACACCTTGGCCAACACCTCTATATGAAGATTTAATTTTTGCCAATCTAATGGGCATAAACTAGCACTTTCCAGGTGTTAAGAAGTATTTTCTCATGTCTGTCTCGTTCATAAAAAATTTTATATTTTATTTTAAAACATTTTTTTCTTTCATAATGAAGTCTTTAAGCAGTTTAGACTTGATCTGCAGGAATGGTGTGAGGTGGTTAATGTCATATGGATAATTGATTGTACTGGCATCATTTAGTAAACAGTTTCTCCTTTCTCTAGTGATCTCTGTATCATACAGCCAATCAGTCATACACATTTCAGAGACAAATTATTAAGTGTGTTAACAAATCTGCTGGGATTTCAGAATTTCATTGAATTCATAGCTCAAATGAGGAGAATTTCCTTATTTTTTCCTTTTTTGGTATTGAGTCTTCTTATTCAACACTATAAATTAAGCTGAAAAATAAACTTCTTCTAGTTAGGGGCTCTTCCTTATTTCTTTTGAAAGTAAAATTTCATAAGCATATAATTTTTCTATTAAGAAAATTATCCTAGGGGTCTCTCTGGTGGCAAAAGGGGTAAAGGTGCAACACTATGAAGCTATCTGCAGCCACTGCAGCACGCATTCAATCCCCTGCCAGGGAGGTAACCTTCATGGTGCAGCAGACCTCTCCTGTCTCGCCTGTTGCTCCCCTCAGCAGTGTATTTCAGTGGATCTGCATGTTCTTCTCCCCACTCTGTCTCTGGTGAATCCTCTCATCTTCGCCCCTGCAACTCTGGCCTGCACTCCAGCTCTTGTATACATAAATAAATAAATCTTTTAAAAAAAGAAATTATCCTAGCTCTTTCATAATGAAAAGAGATCTTAAAAAGAGAACATGTAAATTTTTCAAAGACTGAAATCAGAAAACATTTCATTTTTTGGTGTTTTCTATTAACCATTTATTAGTAAGCACAGCAATAAGGAGGATCCAGTACTAAGCCCTAAAGTTGCTCTATTAGCAGATTCATGGATTTCCCACTTCTACATTCCTTTTCTCCCTGCCTATCTTTATACTATTGTGTGAAAATTATTTGTGATGAATCTCTTCACTTCCATTTCCAAATGTGCACATCCATGGAAAAAGCCTTCACTCCCCCACCTCCACCCAGCCCTGCCCTGGGAATTCACAGATTGCGTGTCCGTGTGCAGTGGGTGATGTGGTCAGTAGCTGTGTATTTCTCATAAACTGCATGCCAATGTTTTTATAAAACTATCTGTTCACACTTGTTTAGTTCATGTATATTGTCAATGCACACATACCTTTGTAGTAGAGCTGCATGGGCAAGTGTATAAGCAATAGGCTGACAAGCATGATTCGGGTAATGGTTACTTTTGGTGGGACAGGAAGAATCAGAGATGAGATGAGAGAACTTAAAGATTGATGTGAGTTATTGGTAATGCTTTAATTTTGATGGTAGGCAATGGATTCACAGGTACAGATTGTATTGCTTGGCTTTAAAAGAACATGGCGGTATAGATTATCTTTTGAATGTGTCTAATAATATATTTAAAAGAAAATGAAAAAAAATTAAGCATGCATTTATCAGAGTTTTCTTTCTAAAGATGACATCAATGATCTACCCATAGCTGGGCATCTCTTTGAGCTGTTTTATACAAAAGAGAGGTGGGGTTTGGGTAACTTTTTCTGAGGTCATCATTTTTTCCCTCAGGGGAATGAAGGACTGTCATTGGTAAGTCAGGTGATGATGCATTAAAGGTCAAGGTGAGACAACATTTTTACCTTTATTTAGTCGGGGTACCATTTCCAGACTCTTCTCTCACCCTTGTCCTGCAATCAGTTCCCTATTTATCCTACCCTTAAACAAGCTCCATGCCCCTCCTCCCATGTTCTCTTCCTCATGTAAAACAATTCAGCAGAATCAAATTATATATTTTTTCTTCCTCTCTCCTGCCCTCTACCTCTGCTCCTTCCTCTTTCTCTCCCCTTCTTTCTTTTATTTTACTGTGAATATGTGCTTTTTATATAGTCATAAATAAAATGAAACACCATGAAAAACCAGAAAAATTATCTTTACGCATAGAAAAATAGGAAAAAAATAAAGTACATCTATATCTAACAGCAGAAAGACATTGCATGAGAAATGGAATGTAATGAGAGGTTTTCAGACAACAAGAAGCATCGAGAGGGAAGGCAAATGTAATAAAAAAATATCCGAAGCAAGGAAGGAATGCATTGTGACGTCTTAGGGACAAAAAAAGACACAGACAGACATTCTTTAAACATATCAGACATGAGAAGAGGTTGAAGAAAAATAGTGTCCACTATTAGTGGTGAGGGAAAAGTAATAACAGATGACACTAAAAAGACAGAGGTATTAAATCTTTTCTTTTCCTTTACTCTTTGTCAAAAAGTCAACTGTCTGAAAGCTAGACAAGGCAGTATAAGGAGTAATTTGAAACAAAATAAATGAGAACAGAGAAAGAAAGTGACAGAGGGTTGCAGAATTTACAGGAATAATTGCTGAACCATGTGCTCCTCAAGGTCTAAGACTGCTTACCACTTCCATAGCCCGATCCGAATGGAGTGTCTGGTCTGCAGAAGGAGCTGGAATTCACTAATGGAATATGTACTGTGTTTAAGGCTCTATGTTAGGCATTGGGGCTATAGTGGTGATTAAGATGAATACAGTTCTTGTCATCATGAAATGTATAATCTAGCAAGAAAGAAAGCCCTTAAGTCAATGAGTTAGGCAGTTAATTTCAGTAGAGTTCATGGTGAAGGATGACTCTATGAGAACATTTATAGATGTGACCCAGTCAGGGCGGAGGAACAGAAGTGGCAGCTTGGGAAGGAGTCGCTCATGGAGAGAAATTTAACATTTCAGAAAAATAAGGGAGAGCATGGAAAATGTTTTGGACAAGAGAAAGAGCTTATGCAAAGGTCTGAGATGAGTTTTGAATGTCTGAGACTCTGAAAGCAGATCAATTCAGCTCGGAGCTCAGCAAGTGAATACAAGATGAATCCAGTTCATATAGACCCTGGGATTTTAGAATTTGATTTACATTAAATAGGAAGCCATTGCAGAATTTTAAGAGAAAAAGTGACATTATCTAATTTTTATTGAGCAAGTTGACTTTCATAGCTATTCAGAAGATGGATTGGAAAAAGCCATTTAAGAGGTTAGTTTAGAAGAAAAATGATGATAGTTTGATTAAGGTGAGGAAGTTGAATTAGAGAGAAGAGAGGGATTTGAGAGATATTTAGGAGATAAAAGTAGTTGGGCATAGTAATTGATAGGATAGAGAGAATGAGCATGGAATAGGATTTATAACTTTTTAAAGGTTCAAATTCTTAATTCCAGAGGACAGGATTGCTACTGACAGCACCCAGTGCAGCGTTTCCCTTCTAACCACAGCTCCAAGCTCCTAACTCAACCCCAGCCCACAAAAACAGCAAGATCAAGTTTTGCCAGCTATAAGACATACTTAAAACAAGCAGACAGAAGAATAGTAATAACCGACAAATGTATGATCAGTGAAATATTTCCCAGTGTATCCCTGAAATCATTGTTTTTAAAAAATTATTTTAATGCATATGAATCCAATGCATATTTTTGAAATAATTTGTTTTTCCTTAATCACTATTTTTCATATTTACTATTTCTACTAATCTAGGGCTATGCAAAGGGTCCCTTGCTTTAGAGAATAAAACTTTGACTTCTTTTAGATGTGCCCTCTCTATGGGTAAAGAAGACCAGAGAGCCAAGGCCCACATCTTTTTCTAACCATGTTCTGAGTCCCCGGTACCCTAGAATTCTCCCTGCCTTGTTGCCAGGACCAAGGGTTTGCGCTTGGAGTCTGGCTTCCTGAGAGTGGACAGTAGCTCTGGAGTGGGCACTATGCGGCCGGAAAGACGGCCAATAGCAGCTGCTTATGGAAGCATGGTCAGGGGTTTGGCGTGCTGGCCAGGTTGTCCACACAGCATGCCCAGGAGACCCTGGATGATAGGTAGGGGCAGGGGCGCTGGCTTTCATCCTACAGGCACTGCCTGGTGCTCTGGCCAGCCTGGGTGACCAAAGAGGAAGAAGACACCTTCCTGTCTTCAAGGAACTTGGGGAGCCAGCCACAGTGAACTATTCTGTAAAACAAGGTTGACCAAAGCATCTACCACATGGGCAGGAGCCACTTGTGGTACTTTGGGTATTCAAAAGAGGAAATAGTTCTTCATGACTAGGTAATTCAGGGAAGGGTTTGCAAGAACAGAAATAGAATAATGACTTAGAGTTGAAAGATATATCAATATATTCAATCGTGGAAAGTTATTCATTGATTTCAAACCTCAGTTTTTCTCATTGGGGTTTCATGAGAAAATATATCTAGAAACATCTATAACAGAGTCAAATAAATAAAAATATCTCATAAATGTTGCTTATTCCCCTTATTTCTTGAAAGATTTTTTTAAGCCTCATGAAAATATTTGCAGTCCAGAACATACTCAGTTGTGTTTGAGGTTGCCCTGAAAACATAATGTGTGTGTGTATGTGTGCATGTGTATGTGCATGTGTGTGTGTTGGGGAGGTTAAGGATGGTAGGATGGAAACTTCCTGATATCAGGGCTTCATTTTACATCTCTAGTTCCTGTGAGCACAGATATTTGTACTCAGTAAACATCAGATTGAATGAACAATCACTTCCTGAAGCCGACGGAAGGATTCCAGGGTAAATGAGACTAAAACAATTACTGTGAAGTTCAATGGTCATGGTTCCCCCCCTACA